TGGCGGCGAAGCAGACGAAGCCGGCGTGCTCATCCCGAGCAGGTTGCCGGCAAGGTGAACGAGGGCACCGTGGTCGCCGTCGCCGCCGCAACGAAGGACTGGGCCCCCACCGTGAAGGTGAACGACACGGTGCTGCTCCCCGAGTTTGGCGGCAGCAGCGTGAAGGTGGAGGGCGAGGAGTTCTTCCTCTACAACGAGGACTCCCTGCTCGGCGTGCTGCAGGGATGAGTTGTGGCTTCTCCGCAGAGGCCGCTAAGGAGCTACGTGATGGAACACATATTATTTCTTTTTATTTGTGGTAAATATTTAATGGACTAATTTGCTGGTTGAGTGAGGGCGCTGTGTGAGTGTGTGGGTGCGCAGGGGCGGCTGGTGGTGGTCGCACCGCTGGTATCTGCTTTTTGTGGTGCCATCTGCTCCGCCGAGGACATTGCCTGAAATTTCCTTTCCCCACTGCAACTTTTCTTCTGCTTTTTTTTTCACTTTTTGTAATTATTTTGCCTTTTTGTGTGTGTGGTGGCACCGCTGCGTACGTGCGTTGTTTGCCGCTGGGTGCTGGAGCTTAGTTGCTTCTTTAAAGAAAGAATAAACATATTTTATCAGTGGAAAAAGCTACATACAAATTCAACGACAGCCAAAAAAAAAAAAGTGAAGAATCAGAAGAAATGTTCAAGGTTGATTCTGACGGGTCGGCAATTACGTATCACATCCCCGTGGGTCCTTTTGTGCCGCTGCAGCACGACAAGATCGAGGTCACGACGGTGAACCGCCTGGCGAATTTTGGCATGCGGTTTGCGATGGAGCACGGCTGGTGCTACTTCCGCCGCAGCAGCGACCGCGCCCAGCACGCCGGTGCGGCGGTCGACGAGGGGTACGTGGAGCCTGGCGAGGACGTCACCGTCTTCTTCGCCGGCGTGGAGGCGGAGCTGGTGGGGGAGCTGCCGAAGTTCGACGGCAAAATTACCCCCGCCTCCCTCTTCTTTTGGGGCCAGTTCTGGGTCTCGCACGTGGGCAGCAGCAGCTTCGGCATCTACGGCAAACTTTTCCACTACGACGCCGCCACCGAGGCGGACAAGGTCCCGATTGGTGTGTTCAAGCTCACCGGTGTGACGGTCTCCAAGACGAGCCGCAGGCCGGTGCCCATCCCAAAGGACAGGGCAGCGGTGCTGCAGGAGACGATGCAGCGACACCAGCCAACGACAAGCCTGCCGCGTGTGGCGCGCATCGACGTTGCCGACATTCTGGCACGCTCAGGCCTCTTTGCGGATAAGACGTGCTGCAAAATGGTGGATCCACTTCCCACGCACGCCTCCGTGGCCCCGCTGCAGGTTGCCTACCGCCGCGAGTTTCACATCCGCCAAAGCGACATCGACTTCAACAGGCACGTCAACCAGATGGCACTGATTCAGCTGGTCATCAACGCCTTCCGCTCGGCGCTGGCCGATGAAACAACGATCTTCCCGCGTCTGCTTGACACCGGTGTCAGCGCCATCGTCGGAGATCTGCTCCTCCGGCGCCTCCGCATCGATTACGTTCGGGAAACCCCCATGGACCACCGATCGGTGGTCATCGCGTTGTTTTTTGCGCAGCCCGCGTCAAGAGACGCCGCCATCGCTTCCTCCGCGGGAAGTCGTCGCAACGAGGCGGCGGAGTTGTGCTTCCTTGCGCAGGGCGTCCCGGACGGCGGGGCGCCTCCGCACATCGCCGCCGTTGGAAACCTCAGCGTGTGTTGTTAATCCTCCCTTAAGTGTACACGCTCGCCCCGTTTCTATTCATTTTGCTTAGCTTTGCACAAAAACAACAATAACGACAAATAATAATAGTTTTTTTGTGTTTACTCTCTGCTGTCTCTGCGTCTTTTCCTCCAGTAAACGTTTTGCTGCCTCCGCCGCCACCTCCCGCTTTTGCTCCCACCCCCGTTGCCAATAAGAAAAAAAGCGAAAGCGACCACCGCGACACGCAAAACAGAAAAAACAAGGAAGTCACTTCTTCTTTTTATTTTTACGAGAAACAGCCGCAACAGAAACCCACACTCTCGCCAATGTTCCGCGCCACGTTCTCCGCCCTGAGGAAGCTGCAGCCGCTTGGCCCGCGCGTGCTGGTGAAGCGCACGCTGGCGGCGAAGCAGACGAAGGCCGGCGTGCTCATCCCCGAGCAGGTTG